CGGGGTTTCACCGTGTTGACCAGGATGGTCTCGATCTCTTGACCTCGTGATCCACCCGCCTCGGCCTCCCAAAGTGCTGGGATTACAGGCTTGAGCCACCGCGCCCGGCCTAAGCAGCATTTTTACCCACGCATGCTGGCACGGGCGGGCTGGGGCTGTGGCCGCCCTCCAGGCCTCACCTGCCCTCACAGGAGGAGTGCCATCCTGGGCAGGGGAGTGCGGGCCAGCAATGGTCACCTCCTGAGGGGCTCTCACGGGGAGCCTGGCTGGAGAGGACTCTGCATAGGTCCCAGCCACAAGGCTGTGCCGCCGCCTGACCTCTCCTGGCCCCCCGACTGACCCTCCTCTGGGTAGAGAGAGCAGGTAAGACGCTCAGTGCCTTCACTGGGTTCCTTCCAGGGCTCCAGCCCGCCCCACCCAGGCAGCCAGTGTCACCCCTGTGACGCGGAGGCAGGGGCAGGAGGCACGGGCTGGGAGCAGGTGTTAGGGTCTCCTAAGGCCCTGCTTGCTGCTCGGAAGAGCTGATCTGGGACAGACAAGAAGCTGCGTCCATGGCCTGTGGCGGCCCGGGCAACCAGTGCATGCTGCAGACTCTTCGTGCCACAGCCAGGGGCAAGGGTGCAGGCCACCGGGGTCAGCAGGGAGGCCCCATGGCTGGTCTTTCACCTGCAAAGGCTTGTTTAGCAGGGTAAGACATAGGATGCCCAGCCCTGCAGCTGAGGGTGGTCCCAGGCTGCCCACTCCGAGCAGCTCCTAAGCCTGCAGTGTTTCCAGCAAGGGGGCCCCTGGGACCTAGCTACCCTGCACTGGGGGTGGGGTTGGGGACAGGTTTCCTAGGACAGCAAATGACCTCACACAGGCAGAAGACAGGGCAGAGAACGAGCCCCACGGGAGGACCAGCAGGGCCCCCCTGCCTCAGGATACACCTGGCCAAGGAAAATGGGTGGCTCTGTCTGAAAGGGCAGCTCTGGGGGGCGCCTGGGACTTGGCTCTAAACATGAAAGATTTTAGCAGGTGGAGCTGTCTCAGCACAAAAGCTCTTTACCCCCATTTGGAGGTCTTGGTAGTTTGGCCATGTCTCTAGGTAAGCCACAGGAGATGGAGGAATCCCCTCTCTGCCCGCCCTTGGTGCTTGAGAGGCCCTGGGAGCCAGGCTCTTTAGCGTGCAGGTGGCCCGAGGCACGGCCGCTGGTTGCCATGTCACTGGGCTAGCTCCTTAACCACTGGCCTCGGCGTCCCCATGTGTAGGGAGCACCAGTGTCCCTGCCAGGCTGCTGCCAAGTTCACAAATGGGAAGGGCCTGGGGCACAGCCCGGCCCATGTGACTCTGGGGTCCACATCAGCCACTTGCTCTTAGTTGAAAACAAGGAGGGGCTAAACCTGGCCACTTTTTTTTTTTTTGAGATGGAGTCTCGCTTGTCACCAGGCTGGAGTGCAGTGGTATGATCTCGGCTCACTGCAACCTCCACCTCCTGGGTTCAAGTGATTCTCCTGACTCAGCCTCCTGAGTAGCTGGGATTACAGGAGTGTGCCACAACGCCTGGCTAATTTTTTTGTATTTTTGTAGAGATGGGGTTTCACCATGTTGGCCAGGCTGGTCTCGAACTCCTGACCTCAAGTGATCCACCCTCCTCAGCTTCCCAAAGTATTGGGATTATAGGCACAAGCCACTATGCCCAGCCTAAACCTGGCCACTTCTTCTTTTTTTTTTTTTTCATTTTTTTCCTGGCCACTTCTTAAACCAAAACCCAGGGTCAAAACAGAGAGAAGGACAGGCCTGTTGTCCTGTGCTGGCTGACCTGCAGACTTCGGGGCTCTGGGGTGGAGTCCTAGCACAAGGGCCTGGCTCGGGGACTGGAGGCCGGTGTGCTGCTCTCCTGACCCAGTGTGAGGCCGGACGAAGGAAAAGGGTCCACGTCAGCGCAAAGTGACTCCTATGGGGCTACCTCCCCTCCCCCGTGCTGGCTCTCCGCCTGCACCTGGCGGCCTTCAGGGCCTGACTCCCAGCCCAGACAGAGGACGGCAGAGTGATGCAGACCGGGACTGCTAAACAAGCCCTAAAGACCAGCCTGGGGACAGAAAGGGCGGGAGGCAGACCCAGAGAGCCATACCTTAGGGTAAAGTCAAAATGAAAATGCTTTTTCCTTTTCAGAAAGCCATCAAAAGAGAAAACACAGACATGTTACGACGCCCTCAGGAGCCCTCCGGGGATCGCCTTGCTCGGTCTCCCACGTGACAGAGCCCATGGGTGCTGGCGCTGCACTTTGCAATTGGCTCTCTCCCAGGTAGTCTGGGGAAAGGTTGGGACAGCTGGCGCCAGATGTGCAGGGAGGAGGCGCAGGCGGGACAGACGGGTCTCCCGCAGGGCTTTCGGCTTGGCGCTCCTGAGCACCCTCCTGCTCTGGGCAGGTGAGGATGTGAGCTGATCACTCATCCCCGGGGACCAAGGCCCAGGGGTCCCTCAGTTCCCCATCCCAGGAAACTCAGGCTGTGGAAGGAACAGGTGCCCAGATTGGAGGGGCTGGGCCACTGCCACCCTGGCCCCGTGACAGCTATCCATCCTGTCAAATTCTCATCACTCGGCGATATAACGTGCGCAGAAATGGTGGAAACATGGCGCTTATGATGGGGGACCTGGGGTGTGGGGAACTGCCTACGGTCAGGGAGGCCCCGGAGCGGCCTGGCTGACCCAGGCTCTGGTCTGCGCCCAGTGCAGGGCTCTGTGGCCACCAGGCCCAGCCCAGCAGCAGGTGGGGAGGCCCGTGGAGGGTTGGTGGCTGGCAGGAGCCTGTGGCATGGTGCCCAGGCCCACCTCGTTACCTCTTCTGCTTGTAGGTCAGCATGGCCTCCGCAATGGGGAGCTGGTGGGCACAGTTGGCGCCTGCGATATACTGGGTGATGCGTGACACGATGTCCGGTGTGTCCTGTACTGCAGGGGAGGAGGGGAGGAAGCAGGGAGGTTGGGCTGGTGCCAGGTGGGGTTCCAAGCAGGGCTGAGCTGGGTGTCCCTGCTGCCCCGCCCAGGCCCCCCACACCCCGAAGTGCAGCAGGGCTTGCTGGCAGCGGCTGAGGGGCCCTGGTCCTCTACTCTCAAGGTGGTACCAGGGCAAGTGTGGCAAGACCTGAAGGGCTGCGCCTGCCTCTTCCCAGACAGGCCCCACGGCTCCCAACATTCTAAGGCTCGGGGGAGAGGAGGCGTCCTGGCCAAGGCCCCAGCAGGCCCTGTCATGGCCTCTTCCTTGAGGCTGAGCGTGAGCAGGTGCAGGGCCTCCTGGGCACGGCATCTGGGGAGACCAGGGCCCTTCCTCCCGCGGCAGCATGGGGCTGTGGGCGCGCCCGGGCCTCACCCGCACTCTGGGCCTCCAGCTTGTTGAACAGGTCTCTCCAGGCCAGGTCCTGGAAGAAGTTGTTGTAGCGGTAGTCCACGGAGCCCAGGTACCTAGCCACGGGGTGGGACCCTGCATGCCAGGGGTGGGGCCAGTGTCAACACGGGGGACTTGGTGCTACAAGGCTCCCACTGTGGCCCAAGAGCTGGCCCACCTGACCCTGGGCCTGCTCTGCTGCCTTCCAGACAAGCATACTTTCCTGCCGCTGACCCCGCCACCGTCCCTCTCTGGTGGACACCTGTGGCCCCACTGAAGGAGCTATAGCCCTGAGCTGAGGCCCCACAGCCCTGAGTGCCAGCAACAAAGGCCCAGCAGGGCACATATGACCATTCGGAGGCCTTGGCTGGCTCAGGGCTGTGGTGTCACAGCCAGGGCCACACAGGAGACGCGCCGCCTCCAGGCCTTGCGGCTGGTCAGATTCAGGCTGGACAGTTTTGTAATAAGACACGTTGTATGGACCTAAAGAACTCATGGAGTTCCACGACACAGGACCTGGACAAGCGGAGAGGATTAACAACCAGCCCTGCTTTGCACGTCTGACTTTGGAAATGGAAACCGGCTGAGTTATCATAGCGACGGACTGAGGGGACGCCCGCCTCGGCCCCTTCAGAGGGTGGCGGCTTTACCTTGACCCAAATGGCTGTTTTAGGGCGATCAAGTTATCTTGTGTATAATTAAAATTAACAGCATTACTGTCTCAGACATTTAAAACAACAAATTCGTGGCAAGCCGGGGCGCCACGGCACCCACGGCGCCCACAGCGTGTGTGCCAGGCCCAGGTGGACGCGGCGCTCACCCAGCGGGATGACCAGGAAGCGCATGTAGCCGAGCCAGTCAGGCGTCTTGTGGGACAGCTGCTCCACGAAGAGCCTCAGGATGGCACTGAGGTAATGCTGCGCGCCCGCCACAGCGATCTTCACGGGCGTCGGGGGCTGGGAATTGCAGTTGCAGCTGCGATCCAGAGGCAGGTGGGACGGGAGGGGACAGACGCCTCAGGGAGCCGTCCTCCATCCAAAGATGCCTGTGTGAGCCTGGGGGCCCTGTGCCGGTGGCCACTCACGCCATAACCGCCCTAGTGCTGCCCAGACCCAGGATGCCACATGCCTGAAACTGCCCAGGCTGAGGGCCACATAATCATGGCTTCGGCCCAGGTTTTCCAGGACGGGCCAGGTGGTCACCCCTCCAGTGTGACTGGACACACGCCAGGCTGCTGCTCCCACCCGCAATGAGGGGAGGCCAGGCTCCAAGGAGCCTGTGGGTCAGGCCCCGTGGACACCAGCCACAGCCCGGCCCTGGAGCGAGGGGCAGAGGCTGGGGTGCGACCCCGAGGGGTACTTGGGCAGTGAGCACAGGGTGGAGCCCAACTCACTATCTCTGTATCCGCGAGACGATGGTGCTGAAGGCCGCCTGGACGTCTGCGGGAGAGCACGTGCACACCACGGGAAGCGTGTGCCTCTGCAGGACATCGGAGAGGAACTGGCGGAGGATGGGCAGCCACTGACTTTGGCACAGCCGCCCAGACCACCCAGCACCCAACCCTCACCAAAGCTCTCAGGGGCTCCAGAGACCTCAGGCCCAGCCAGGCAAACCACAGCCACCAGCTCCAGCACGCGGGTGTGCCAGGGGTGGGGGGCGGGCACAGGAGCCCCCTCTCCTCTGTCCTACGCCCTAGCCCTCCATTCCATGTGACCGCACCCCCACCTGCCCCTGCCAGTCGGAGGTGTTGACAAGGATGATGTTTTCAGGGAGCTGGTCGTCAGAGACGAGGATGTGGTTGAGCTGGTCATACACAGTCTTCCTCGGGATCTGGAGGCACAAGAGGCCTGTCTATACCCAGAAGAGCAGCATAGCGCCTGTCCCCACCTCCCCAGCCCCCGTCCCCACAGTGCCTCTGCTCCCCCTGCAGCCACAGAGACTCAGCAGCAGGAAGAGAGCTGGCCAGCTTAGAGACCACCCCTGGGCCAAACTGGCCAAGCAATGAGGCTGCCCGGGGCCAGGGAGGGCAGCAGGAGGACTAGAACTTACCCTGGAGTCCACACGGCCTTCCTGACAAACCAACCCAGGACCCACCCACCCTGCCATGTAGCAGGTGCCCTCCAAAGCCCCACATGCTCTATGACCTGGCACCCTTGGCCCCTGTGCTTCTCTTTTTGCCCTGGCCTGGTTGGTGCCATGGTGACCACGAGCCCTGCCTCCCGCGCGGGCCACTCCCTCCACCCCACCTGCACCTGCACCTGCAGCTGGCTCCGGGAGTCGGGGCAGCGCTCGTTGTCCAGGCTGTTGGCCCGCTCATTCTGGGGCCGTGCTGGCTGCCGCTCCTTCAGGGATGTGCTCCGGCCCCGTCGGCCAGTCTGCTTCCCCTCGGACCTGTTGGGGACCAGGACAGGGTAAGTGGCTGTAGCAGCAACAGGGGCAGGGGCTGGGGCAGGCCTGTAGTGGCCTACACATCGTAGTGGGGACAGGGAAAGACGAGCACAGGGCCGACTGATGGCCAGGGGGCCACGGGCTGCAGAGAGGCCACCAGCCCTGGGAGGGCCACAGCAGCAGCTGAGTACAACTGAGACCGTGACCTCGAGGGGACCCTATGCAGCTCTGCCTGTGAGGCTGTGAGACAGGCTGGGAGCCCTGGAGTCACCGTGAGGACTGGGCTCACCCTCCCTGCCCGGGCAGAGCTGGGCAGAGCCAGGGGCAGGACAGTGCAGGGCACAGAGGCTGCCAGGGTGACCGGCTCTGGAGCCTGGGCACAGGTCCCCGGGTGCTGCCACCTGGTAAATGCCAGTGCCCAGACTCACTGCTTTGGAAAAAGTCCCAAATGTCACAGAAACATGAACTGAGACCCTGACAGAATCAAGCTGGTGGATGTATGTCTTTTGGCTGTGGTGGGGGCTGCTCAGGGGGCCGTGGGGTAGAGCGCCCGCAGGAGGGCAGACATGCCCGGCCCCAGCCCTGGAGCAGGTAGGGTAGAACCTGAGGCTGCAGGCTCCACACCCAGTGCTAGGCAGCAGGTTTGCTTCTCCTTTTAATGAAGAGGGATGGGGGATGGGGCCCTGAACCTGCTGTCTGCATATCAGGCTGAACTGATAGGAACCCATCCTGATGGACACCCCCAATGGCCCCTCCCCGATGGCTGCATTGCCGACTCGCCCAACAGCATGGGGCCCCTGTCACCTGGTGGAGGGGATGACCAGGGACTCGGTCTTGGTGATCCTCCCGCTGGGCGGCAGCCTCTCCGTGAACACGTCCAGGGTGGAGGCCTCAGCCTCAGGGCTGTCCTCAGGCTGTCCAGGCTGTGCCCTTGGGCCTGGCGTTCCCTGCTGAGCAGACACAGGCTGGAGCCTCCCGTGGAAACCCAACCAGTGCTGGGCCCTCTCCAGCTGTGTGGCCTCTGGCTCGAGTGAGGGTTTAGGCCTCTCTAGGCTGTGGCTTCTACAGGTGGACCTGGCCATGTGCTGCCAGGGAACCTGGCTGAGCTCAGCTCCAACCATGGGGCTTCCATCCAGGCCATGAGGGAAGCCAGCACCCAATCTCCCAGGACCTGACCTTCCCTGGCCCAGGACCCCCTGACTGAAAAGACCCCATGCAACGAAGCAGGAGGAGGGAACCAGGCATCCCTGTGTGTCTGTGGGCAACAGTGCAGCAGGGGCCGTGCAGTCATTCACCTAAGGGTAAGGTAAGTCCAGGTGCCCTGACCCTGAAGGTGGGTTAAGTCAAGGGTACCCTGATCCTGAGGGTGGGGTGAATCTGGGGCACCCTGATCCTGAAGGTGGGGTGAATCTAGGAACCCCGACCCTGAAGGTGGGGTAAATCTGGGGTGCCCTGACCCCAAAGATGGGGTGAATCTGGGGCACCCTGACCCTGAAGGCGGAGTGGATTTTGGGATACTCGGACCATCCGGTGGCCTGGCCACTCCTGAAGGCTGACCCCAACTCTGCACACCAGGCGTGACGTGAGACCTATATGTGGGGCCCGCCCCTCCGGGTCAGACCCTTAAAGGCAGGGTTGGTGTGCCTGGTGTGCGGATGGGTGGGTGTGGCCCCAGCCTGCTTACGAGGGCCACCGTGTCGGAGACACTGTCACTTGGCTGCCTGCCTCCCAGGGACCGTGTCTTCTCAGGTGCGTCGGCCTGCGGGGAGGGTATGTGATCAGTTTTGCTCACCTGCAGGGGACAAGGCGCTGACTCCTGGGCTGGGAATGCTGGGGCATCTAACTCCTGGGCTGGGAATGCAGAGGCTCGGGGGACGCTGGATCCTGGACGGTGGGTGCAAAGTGGCCCCAGGACAGTTGGACAGGGCCCTGAGCCCAGGACATGCTGGGAGATTTGGGCCACGCCACAGCCCAGTCAGGCCACGGTCCACTCTTGGGGATCAGTGTGGCCCCACTCACCGGGCTCGGGGGCTCCTTGTGGCTGCGGGCGCTGTGGATACTCCCGATCTCTGTCTGCGAGCTCGAGTGTGACAGTCCTTCAAAGTATGGCCTGGCTCAGGGAACGGGATGGGGACATGTTAATTCCCAGGATCCTTCTTGCTCTCCCACCACACCTGGAGGAAGAGACTGGAGAATCCAACAGCAGAGCAGAGCTGGGTCCAGAGAAGAGCCCATGACAGTGCACACCCACTCGCAAGGGGCATGGGGAGGACGATTCTGGGGCCGGTAACGCCAAGCCCCTTCCTGGCTCCTCCATCTGCCCTGATATCAGCTGCAGGAAACACATATCCCTAAAACTCGGCCTTAGCTCCAGGTAAGGAAGACCCTGTCTCTACAAAAAATATAAAAATTAGCTGGGTGTGGTGGCGCACACCATCAGCCCCAGCTACTCAGGAGGCTGAAGTGGGAGAATCGCTTGGGCACAGGCAGTTGAGGCTGCAGTGAGCCGTGACTGCACAGCTACACTCTAGCCTGGGTGATGGAGCAAGACCCAGTCTCAAAAAACAAAACAAAACAAAAAACAGACAGGACGTGTGCAGTGTCTGGTGCTCCACGCTGGGCAACAAAGCCACATGGAAACTCGTTGCTGCTGTGTGTGACCATCAACAGCATGGCGCCAAAAGCACACGCCCCTCCCTAAACTACGAACGCAAGCTGGCCAGGGCTCTGCAGATAGGCCAGTGCCATGGAGCTTAAAATGGGAGACGATCTGGGCCACATGGGTATCTCCTAAGGAATCACATGGGCCGTTAAGGGCAGAGGACTTTCTCTGGCTGAAGGAAGGAGAGGTGAGGCCAGAAGGCCAGGGAGACCTGAAGTGTGAGGGGACTTGACCGGGCCTTGCTAGCTCCAAAGGTGGAGGAGGGACCCTGGGCCAAAGCCTGAGAACAGCTGCCAGAGGCAAGAATGACCGCCGGCCACCAGGCAGCAGGGTAGCCAGACCCCAGTCCCGCAGCCATGCTGAGCCCAACTCCACCAACAACCACGCCAGGCTGCCGCGTGACCTCGGGGTCCTGACCTCAGCAAGACCCCAGCAAAGAATGAAGCTACGGCCTCGGGATGGTGACTCCAGAACAGGAGGAACAGAGGCTGTTTTTAGTGGCCACATCTGCGGTCACCTGTTATGGTGGCTGCTGGTGACTGAAGCGGCAGCAGGTGGGGCTGGGGCCACCAGGCAATGTCAGGTGAGATGGGAGGCTGCTGCATGCTGCAGGGCTAAGCAGGGCCTTGCCTCCAACACACAGCAAGGCCACCTTGCCCGTGTCTACTTCTTCATGCTGCTCAGGTTAAAAAAGCATTAAAAAAAGTCCCAAGCTTCCCATCTCCAACTGGGGGCTCTGGCTCCTCAGCAGCTGCCCAGATCCTGGCACGTGCCTTCTGCCTGGTATGCTTGCCTCCTCGCCCAGACCCATGCGCAGAGATCCTCTGAATCTCCCTCCTGCCCAGGCCTGGCCCCGGCCAGGCCCCTCCTCCCACCCGCCACAGACACCTGCCGCCCCGTCTCTACCGGCCTCTGCCTCCTCCTCCTCAGGGAGGGGCACCCAGCATGGGGGGCCTCACATCCCACCTGAGTGGGCAGAAGTCCTCTGCAGTTCCCAGGGTATCCAACGACTGATCCCCTAGAACAGGTGGCACGCCCAGCCCATCTGGCACCCTGGGGGCCCCCCAAGTCCTCCCCAGCCCAGAGCTCGCACCCCCTGGCCTGGCCTGTGACAGGAGAGCTGCCTGGCTCAGTGCAGCCATGCCCTGGGCCTGCCAGGTGGCCGCACACGTCTCCTGTAGGCCCACCCTACTGGTCTGGCCATCAGAGCCTTCCCGGGCTTCGAGGCAGCTGGCCCTGCCCATCACGCCCCCCAGGCTGGACATGGGTATGCCAGAGTGGCTGCAGAATGGCTGCAGTATCTGAAATGGCTGTTCCCCACTCCACCCCGCCCCGCCCCATAGGGCTCACCGCAGCTTTGGCTTAGGGGTGCTGAGGACACTGTCATCGTCCTCCATGTCGGGGCCACTGTCGCTGGGGTGCTCCATGTCCAGCGTATCATACAGGAGGTCCAGGTCCTCCTCCGCCTCGGGGATGTGCTCCGCAGGGTCCTGCTCTGAGTCCAGGACCTGCAGGGGTGCCAGACGAGCATGAGGGCCAGGTGGGAATTCCCTGCAGTGGCCCATGCTGCCCCCTTGGGGGTACCCGGGACCCCCGAGTCTACAGGAGCAATAGGAGGTGGGTGCTCGGCCACCAAATCCCTCTGCTCAGCACGCTGTAGTCCAGCTTCTGTCACAGAGCTCAGGGTGAGCACCAAGGACCCCAGGTCCCCAGGCACTGGGCGTGTGTGGCATTCCTCCACCTCGCCTGGGCTAGTCCGGTCATCCAGGCTGCCAGGACACACGGAGGGCCTGAGTGCAGGCAGGTGAGCTCTGACGGAGTGGACCACTGTACAGCCAGCACCACGACCAAGACACAGCATGTTCCCCACACCCAGGGGACTCCCCTCTGCCCTCCCCTAGTGTGTCCCCTCCCTCTTTCCCACACTGCGGATCTCACTGTCCCTGGATGTCCTGCCCCTTCCGGAGTGCTACCTAAGAGGGGTCACGTGGCTGGCGGCTCTGGCGTGGGCTTCATCCACCCAGCGGGGCACGCTTCATGTTCCTCTGTGTCCCCAACCAAATCTCACCTTGAATTGTAACCCCCACAAGCCCCATGTTCCAAGGGCGGGACAAGTGGAGGTAAATGGATCATGGGGGAGGTTTCTTCTGCGCTGTTCTCAGGGTAAGAGTGATTTGATGCTTGTATAAGCGTCTGGCATTTCCCCTGCTGGAACTCATTCTGACTTGCTGCCCGTGAAGAAGGTGCCTGCTTCACCTTCTGCCATGACTGGAAGCTTCCTAAGGCCTCCCAGCTGTGCTGAACTGTGAGTCAGCTGAACCTTTCCTTTATAAACTTCCTCTGGTGATTCTGCAGCACGCCACCGAGCAGATGGACCCCAGTCTAACAGATCACCAGCTGATGGCTGTTTGGCCATCACAGACGACACTGCTGTGAACGTCTGCATGGGTCCGTGCATGTGTGTTCACCTCCCCGAAGTCAACACTGAAGAACAGGGTGCTGGATGTCTGGCAACTGCTTCCTGAGGCTGCCCTGCCATCTTACATTCCCCCAGCACTGTGCGGGTTCCAGCTGTGACACCTCAACCTGTTGCATTCCATTTGTTCCAACCGTCCTAGTGGGGATCAAGTGGTGTCTCATTGTGGTTTGGTTTACATTTCCCTAATATCAGTGATAATGATCATGTACTTACTGTCTACTTGTATGTCTTCTTTGAAGAAATCTCTTCAGAAAGATTCCCTGCCCATTTTTTAATTGGACAATTCACTGTTGTTTGTTTTTGAGAAAGGGTCTTACTCTGTTGTCCAGGTTAGAGTGCAGTGGCACAATCGTAGTTCACTGCAGCCTCGACCTCCTGGGCTCAAGTGATCCTGCCATGTCAGCCTCCCAAAGTGCTGGGATTACAGGTGTCAGCCACTGTAGCTGGTTCTCTGACAAGTCATAATCACTTTATTAAAATAGTTGGCTCAAGCATCTTCAATGGTGATGTCAACCACAGCTAGCAGCTCAATTCTAACAGAGGAATTGGTCTTACAATCCCAGAAGGACTGGGCAGGTCAACGAGCCACCTGTGGATTCTCATCTGGAAGTGATCCCTGTCTGAGAACCCTCACCACAAGGCAGTTTTCTCTTAGTAATTCCCAAAGTCTTGGCAGGGATCAGAGCTGGTCCTTTTGCTTTGAGATTCTTTTCCTCCATGCCTCTTATAAGCCAGCACACACCTCCGGGGATGACACTGCAGCTGGTCAGGGTAATTCTAATTCAAGGAATCACCCACCGGCTTCAGGGCGTCCTTTAAAAGCCACGGCCACGAGGCGGCCTCCTGGTCCACTGCTCAGCCCAAGTGAACAGCAGTGAGTCAGGGCAGGAGTGGGGGCCCCCAGCTCCGTGGCACCTGAGACTATCGTTCTCAAAGCAATGGACAATTCAGCTTTTAACTGGGTTGTATTTTTATTTTTCAGTTATAAGCATTCTTTATGTGTTCTGGATTCAAGCCCCTCAGCATATATATGATTTGCAAGAACCATTCTTCTGTCCTACTATTTTGCTTTATTGATGGCACTGTTTGGAGCACAAATGTGTAATATGTGGCTGTAGTGCAGAAAAACTTACCTTCTGTCGCTCGTGCTTTTGGTGTCATATCTAAGAAACCCCTGCCTAACCCAAGGTCGTAAGATTGGTCCATTTTCTTCTAAGAGTTTTATAATCTTAGCTTACATATGGAGATCTTTGATCCATTTAAAGTTTTTGTTCTATTTTTTTGAGATGGAATCTCGCTGTGTTGCCCAGGCTGGAGTGCAATGGCGTGATCTCAGCTCACTGCAACCTCTGCCTCCTGGGTCTGGGTGATTCTCCCACCTCAGCCTCCTGGGTAGCTGTAACTACAGGCACCCACCACCATACCTGGCTAAGTTTTTTATATTTTTAGTAGAGATGGAGTGTCACCATGTTGGGCAGGCTGGTCTCAAAACCCCTGACCTCAAGTGACCTGCCCTCCTTGGTCACCTAAAGTTCTGGGATTATAGGCATGAGCCACTGCACTCGGCCAATCCACTTCAAGTTAATTATTGAATATGGTGTGAGGCAGGGGTCCAAATTTTGTTTCGCTTTTTTCGTTTTTTATTTTAAGACAGGGTCTCACTCTGGTTGCTCAGGCTGGAGTACAATGGTGTGATCTAAGCTCACTGCAGCTTCCACCTCACGGGCTCAGGTGATTCTCCTACATCAGCCTTTTGAGTAGCTAGAATTATAGGCACATACTACCATGCCCAGCCAATTTTTTGTATTTTTAGTAGAGATGGGGTTTCACTATGTGGACTCATGCAATCTGCCTGCCTCAGCCTCCCAGAGTGCTGAGATCACAGGTGTGAGCCGCCACAGCGGCTGAAATTCCCTCTTTGCATGTGGATATCCAGTGGTCTCAGCAACCTTTTGTGAAGCCTATTCTTCCCCTGTGGCTATCCTGGCATCCTTGTTGACCATCACTTGCCCACAAATGGAAGGGTTCACTTCTGGATAATCGCCTCTCTCCATGCTGCCCCTGGGCCAGCCCCACACAGTCTGGAGTACTACTGTGGTTTTGCAGTAGGTTTTGAAATTGGGAAGTGTAAATCTTCATTCTTTAAGACTATTCTGTCTCCTCTGCGTCCCTTGCATTTACATATAAATTTTCGCTGGTCAATTTCTACAAAAACACAGCTCGTAATCTGATAGGCATTGTGTTGAATCTGTACATAAATTTAGGGAGTACTGCCACCTTAACAAGACCAAGTTTTCCAACCGTGAACGTATGACATCTTTCCACTTCTTCATATCTTTAAAAAGTGGTTCACAGTTTCACTGTATGAGTCTTACTCACTTTTTTTTTTTTTTTTTTGAGACGGAGTTTCACTCAT